GTAACGTAACGTTAAAGTTAACTAACAACTAATACTAATTATTACTAAGAATACTATTAGTAGTAAGTAGTAGTACACTTATTACTTAGTAGTCTATACTCTCTCTCTCTCTCTCTCTCTCTCTCTCTCTCTCTCTCTCTCTCAATTTCTTCAGCATTGGCAACTTGCTATGGTTGAAAATTAGAATCGCTGTAAGGGAAAATATGAAATCACTTGCCTTATACATCTCCACCGCAGTGATGCAAATTTTGGAACAAAACTACAGGAATGGAGCATCAGAAATATATATGTTACCAATAAAACGTAAAACACATTCAGAATATAGAAATGTGTGTGAGAGAGAGAGAGAGAGAGAGTTAAATCAGAGAAGAGACCAGAATGGTCTTGAGAGAGACAGAAGGGAGAGAGAGAGCTTGTGCAAGTAAATCAGAGAAGAGACCAAGATGGTCCTTCGAAATGAATGAGAACAAAGTAGTTTCTCTCTCTCTCTACATAGAATCTCTCTTTCAAGGTGATCCCCAAAAATGAGACAGAGAAAGAGCCAGTACTCTGTCTTAAGTATCACTTATTAATCTCAATTTCTCTGATTTCCTTGTGCAAGTTCCCTCTCTCTCTCTCAACCCATTTTTTTTTTGGGAGAAACATAAAAAGCAAGAACACTATAAAGCTCAAATGATCATGAAAACAAGCACAGACAGAGTACAATCATCAAGAGAGAGAGAGAGAGATTCAATGTTGAGAGAAAGAAGCGTCCAGGGAGAAAGAGAGTTCAATGATCAATAAAAAGTGTAGAGAGAGAGAGTTCAATGATCGACAAAATTTTACATACGGAGAGAGAGAGAGGTCAATGATCAACAAAACTTGTACTTATTGACAGAAAGAGAGTTTAATATCAACAATATTTGTAGAGAGAGAGGAAGAAAAATTTAGAGAGAGAGGAGTAGTGTCAAACCAATACACAATCTCCCCCGTCGAAGCTCTGCATATATACAACGCGTGTCCCATGCTCTGCAATATGTTCGAATAAGGATTCCTCGAATAAAAACCCGGCAATACAGAACCTCCCCTCTCACCGGAATCCAGTCTTCTCCATCCACTGGAAAACCGCCTATCCCCATTTTCCGGCGAGTCCCTCGCCGCCTTTAAGCTCTGGAACTGCTCCTTCAACTCGTAGTGGCTCCTCTCCAGCTCCCACAACCGCTTCTGAAGCTCCTGGTAATGCCCCGGGTCGTGGGTCGACGCAGGAAAACCGCTCCCTCGCGCCGGAAAGCGGTTTTTCATTTGGTACTGCCGGCTTTCCTGCGGCAAGTCGGCCATTTGGTCGGAATTGTTGCGTGTGAGAGGCGGCATCGGGTGGGGATTTTGTTTGCGTTTCTCGAGGGTACAAACTTGCCCGAAAAGGAAACTGAAACTGTTTCTAGTTTTCGCTACTGTACTTTCGGTAATGACACCCATCCCGTACTGTTGAACCCAATCCCGTACGTATGCTTGTTAATTTTGATCGTAGTTAGCAATAGGGCTAGCGTCGGCTTGGCCAGGACCCGGCCAGCCCTATCCCGATCCAAGTCTCCATAGGGTGGGGCTAAGGGTGGCAATGGAACCGATTAGACCTGGAACCCTACTATGATTTTAAATTTTTAACAAAAAAAAAAAAGAAACTCATATCATAAGGTGGCAATAGATCTAACCAGACCCGAGACCTGTGCTCGACCCGTTGCCACTGTTAGGTGGGGCCAAGCCCTGATCGGGCTAAAGAGTTCTTAGCTTGGACCGGGCTAGGTTGGGCCAAATGAAATAAGAACAGAAAAAGATGGTTAGGCTAGACTAAACAAGGCCAAGATTGATCCTAGTTGGCCCTACCCTCGGTCCAATCTTGCCTAGCCTTTGGGCCACATTTTGTGGCCCAGGCTCTAGTTTTTTCATGTCAAGCCCAGGTCATTGCAAAGACAACTATTTGTAGGGTTTGAAGAATTTTTCTTTGGGTGCGGTTCATGTAAGGTTGCAACCTTAAATAATCTAAATAAGGTGCGTAAGACATTTTTTGTGTCAAATTTTCTTAGGATGGTCTTATAATCCATTCTCATCTCTAATTATGGATTTTTAAACTCAAAAAATGTTTCAAAACAAGTAAATCTATAAATATATGAAAATATTAAAAATAGATATTCTAGATATTACGTTGCAAGATGCACTATTTTTGGAACTCAAAATTGTTATTTTTTGACATCCTAATGTTAAGATGATCAATTAGAGGTTTTACCAACATCGAAACAATATTTTTCAATAGATTTTTGAGGTGCACCTTAATTTTATGCGACCTTATATGAACTTTTTATTTCTTTATTTATCATATTTACAGTAATTCAGGTCCATCGAAGGCTAAGCTCAATACTTAAAATGTAATTTTTTGTGAGACTTAGAGTGTCGCTTTTCCTTCTCTTTTTTTTGGGTAAATAAGAGGTTTATTTACGCACGAGGACCTGACCGTCTCGCTAGTTTACTATATAACTTTTCCTAAGCTTTGATTAAATAACAAAGTTAAAAATTCGATGTAAATAAAACAGAGTAGCATAAAATTATTGGATTAAGAAAAAATGTGACTGGAATAAATTCGACTCAAAATTCAAAAGCAGGAATATAACTGCAAGTGTTTTAATGTTTTATCAATTTATAATTTTTTTAAAAGTACGCATATTCTTATTTGTTAGTTTTGTGGAAGATACAGTTCTATTTGATTAACATTGAAATTAAAGTTTTATTTTATTTTATTTTAGAAACCAAATGTTTTTGTAACTATAAAATCGCTCTAAAAATATTTGAGGAGGGCTATGTAGCATGCTCCTAGGAGAGCATATTGTTCAACAACTCCCTCAAGCAAAATAGTTATTCGGGAGATTTTCTTCTTCTTCTTTTTTCAAATTTTTGAGATCTATCTAAGTATTCATTACATGATTATTTTTAAATAAAAAATAGATTTTGAATTGTTAAACATTTACATCTTTCCCTCCAAAAATTGGACAGTTATATTCAATATTGAGATGTCATTTTCTTTAGGCACAACAAGAGGGAATAAAAAAAAATGATGAGGTTGGCTATTGGGTTATAAAGGTTTCTATGCTTCCCTTACAATACAAAAGGTATATACTTCCCCCTTCATCTAACCGTTCAATTTAGATCAAGTGAGTTACTAACCATTAATCTAAGATCTGATGCCTCAGAGTATTTTATTTTAATCTTTTTTATATTAATTATACGAATATGAAATTTTCTATATGCCATCACCTAAACAGGGCGCATCTAAATAAAATATTTAAAAAACATTTTTGATAAAAATAAAATAACCAAAATACCTCTAAAACTTTCAGAGGTATTTTAGTTATTTTATTTTATTGATAATATTTTTTTTATATATTTTTTTATAGGTGTGAGTTCAAGAGAGGATTGGACGCCCAAATTTTTGTGTCAAAATGTTTTGTATAAAAAAATAAAAATAAAATAGTATAGAGGGTGGCATTGTGATTGGACCATCTAAGTTGTCCATTTAGAGTGGATGGTTGGAGAGGGATAAGTATAGAAGTTTTATGTTGCAGGGAAAGCATAAAAAGGCAAGCATTCTATGTTTCCCTTACAGCAGAGAAGTTATATCCTCCCCCTTATCCAACTGCTTAAGATTGCCCCAATCACAATGTCACGTCTCTATACTATTTTATTTTTAATTTTTTTATAAATTATTTTGACACCAAATTTTGGACGTCCATTCATCTATTAAACTCGCACTAGCAAAAAATATATAAAAAATATATTTTCAATAAAATAAAATAACCAAAATACCCCTAAAATATTAAAGGGGCATTTTGATCATTATATTTTATCAAAAATTTATTTTTAATATTTTTTATAGGTGTTCTCCAATGAGAAGATGGCACGTACCAAATTTATATTCATACAATTTGTATAAAAACAAACTAAAAATAAAATACTTTGAGATGTCGGATCTAAGATCAAACGGTGAGTGGCTCTCTTGATCAAAATTGGACGGCTGGATGGTAGAGGGAGGATATAACTTCTATGCTGTATGGGAAGCATAGAAACCTTTCTCAGCATAGAAAGCTTAAAGCTTGCCCTATAAATATTGTATATGTGAAATTGGCATCTAAAAAATACTCTAGGATGAGTTTGCTCGGGGGAGTAGATAGGTATTATATTACTGTAGGAATAAAAAAAGATGCAGTTTCTATAAGGCCTAGGCTTTATGAAAATAAAATAACTCAAACCCTCGTCCAAAAAGTACTTTGGGCATTAAAAATCTCTATGGTGTATCTAAAATCAATTTCTAATACCAACCATTAAATTTGAAACTAAAAAAATGGTACAGATCTTGCGAATCCGTGAACATTCATTTTTAGAGCTCAAAAGACAGTTTAGATAATGTGTTACAATATACACTAATTTTAAAACTTGAAATCTTAATTTTTTTCACAACCGTAGTGGCCAAGCCGAGATAATCGATTTGAATGTTTTCAGACGCCAAAACTACAATTTTCAACGAGTTATAAGATGAACCTTTGCTCATATTGGTCAGACTACAGCTTATCAAATCGGTTTCTTTTCGAAAAAATTGAATATTTGTAATTGTATTTTTCTTATTTTTCATCTCTCTCTTTATCTATTATTATTTTATTTTTTATTTTTTATTTTATGGCGGGGGTAGGGGTGGGCGTGTTGGGGATGTAGATTTTAATGGTGGGTGTGATAATTAAGAATTTGGGTTTCAAATGAGTAAAGGGACAAAACGAAATGGTTTGGCAGCCAAAGAGGGCTATTCGCCAACATTTTGGGTCTATGAGAACAAGACATTTGTTATTTCAATGATCTTGAAAGCTACACCTGTACTTAGTTGAAACCTGAAGGGGCCTCGTGTCCCTTGTCATGTTAGTACGCTTGCTATCATGCAACTTACTTCCTGCATAACTTTTTCTCTCACTTCGTCTTTTTTCTTCTTTTTTTTTTTTTTCTTTTTTCTTTTATACCTATACTCATCCAAAAAAAACCTTCAATTAAAATTTTTTTTTTCTCTTTTTTTTTTTACCTATACTCATCCAAAAAAAACCTTCAATTAAATAAAAAATAAAAAAAATGTCTAAATTTCAATCTCTCATTTTTATTTTACCTATGCCGCTCTCCTCTATCCCATCAAAATAGAGGCATCCGTAACATGTAATATGGTCGGACAGTAATGCTCCAATACTATGTAAAGTTCGGTTCGACAGTAAGGCTTCGGCAATGTGTAAAGTGTCTTCCGACAGTAGGTGTAACAATCCTAAACTTTTGAAAAAATAAAAATAAAAATAAAATAAAATAAACTTTTAATACATGAGGATTCGTTTGAACATGATGGTCTTTAGGAACCATCTCTACTTTTCAAAGCTTTTCGTTTAAAAGCTTTGTTGCTTCTTTGCGCTTGCCACGTCCACTAAAGGACGTGGGCTTTAGTAATTTAAAGCGTAAGCTAACGCTCACACCTGTAACGTAATAAAAGAATAAAATAATATATTAGTAGAATTTAAATTCCAAGAGATGATGACTCCTACCTTAGAAAACTTATGAGATTTTTCTTTCTGGTCAAAACACAGTGAACTCCTCTCTCTAATCGAATTTTTATCGGAAGCTCCTTCTCAAGTATTTGTGGGTAAGTGACATCGTCTTTCTGAAAAATAGTCTGTTTTTAATAAATAGTGATATTTCCGTCCAGGATATTTATTTTATAAGTTTTGTGTGTAAGTGACATCGTCTTCCTGAAAAATAGTCTGTTTTTAATAAATAGTGATATTTCCGTCCAGGATCTTTATTTTATAAGTTTTGTGTGTAAGTGACATCGTCTTCCTGAAAAATAGTCTGTTTTTAATAAATAGTGATATTTCCGTTCAGGATCTTTATTTTATAAGTTTTGTGTGTAAGTGACATCGTCTTCCTGAAAAATAGTCTGTTTTTAATAAATAGTGATATTTTCGTCCAGGATCTTTATTTTATAAGTTTTGTGTGTAAGTGACATCGTCTTCCTGAAAAATAGTCTGTTTTTAATAAATAGTGATATTTCCGTCCAGGATCTTTATTTTATAAGTTTTGTGTGTAAGTGACATCGTCTTCCTGAAAAATAGTCTGTTTTTAATAAATAGCAATATTTCCGTCCAGGATCTTTATTTTATAAGTTTTGTGTGTAAGTGACCCCATTGTCTCGAAAAATAATCCATTCTTTTTAAAAATGAAATGAAATAATTATTTCTGCTTATTATCATGAATTTTAGGCGCGATAAATTTTATGCGCACGTGACCTCATTATCTTGAAAAATAATCTTTTTAATAAAAATTGTGATATTTTATCTAT